GTGACTGTTGACACTTTTGAGACGCGAAGACCCGAGGCGAGTCCAAAAGTGACGACAGTTCTGGGTTTCGCGACCACGACCCCCCCGATCCCTGTGACTGTTGACACTTTTGAGACGCGAAGACCCGAGGCGAGTCCAAAAGTGACGACAGTTCTGGGTTTCGCGACCACGACCCCCCCGATCCCTGTGACTGTTGACACTTTTGAGACACGGAGACGCGAGGCGAGTCCAAAAGTGACGACAGTTCTGGGTTTTGCGACCACGACCCCCTCCATCCCTGTGACTGTTGACACTTTTGTAAGACGAAACGTAAAAAGTGACGACAGTTCTGCATTTCGCGACGATTTCGAACTCTGTGGACTCTCCGGCATGTCCGACCCTCCGCGAACGATTGCAAACGCTTTGCGAACGCTTTGCGAACACAACGCAACGACCTCGCGTCGCCTCCTGGACCCCTGGACCCCAACTTTAAAACGGGAACCCTTCTGCTACGCATTCGGGAAAAGGCTCACGTTGAGCATGGCTGTGACCTCTCAGGCTCTGAAGAGAAAATGTTGCCAGGGCCTGAAAGTTGAGAACACGCATGTACGCATGTAATGATTTGGAGAAACGTTGGACAGGCAACGGTTAAAAGGACCTCAGAATGATTTCAGAGTTGTAGGCATTGGCATTCCATGAATCGCATCAACTCAGGCACAACTAATCGCACCCAACTGGTGCGCACAGCTGGTTGGATACTGCATGGGTTGGGAATTATACGTGAACAAGATCGTGCCAGCATTTTTTCAAGCGCTGCCAGCGCAGCATCCGAGGAGCCATGCAAAGCAGCAGTTTACTGCCCCGCCACAGGCACGACCCACGCTGTGTGATTCCAGAAGCGCATCGTGTTCATGCTCGTTTTACTTGCTACCCGGTTTTTATGTCGCGCTGCTCCAAAAGCCTTTGAAGGTGTGGGTAACATAGAGACATGCAGAATCCATGTCCCAGCTGCGCAGGCTGCGCCGTAGGCTGTCGTTGAAATTTGACAGCCAGACGTATGATGTTGCGTGGCTACCTAGGTGATAGTCAAGTGCCGCACATGTGCTCAACGCTTGTCGCGGCTATTCGATACCACCACCATCCATTTAATTTGTTTAGACTCGCCATGCCGACCCCCTTGACGCAGACAACCTTGTCTGATGCGTTTTGGGATTTGCCTCGGCATCTCGGCGAGCATTGTTTTTTTTTTTGAGTTCGAGGTCTTGGAATGAACAGCTTGAACCCAGTGCATGCTGTGGCAGCCAATCCAGGTCCCGGCGGCTTTTACGTCAATGCTTGCTGTGCCTTGCCGCAGATCCATCCGCATAGCATTGAAGGAAAGATCCGCAATTGTTCGTTTGCCACCGGCTGGCGCAGTGCAGGCATCCATTTTACAAGGGTCTGGTGGATGGCACTGGCTCAATGTACCACTTCCGAACCTTCGCAACCTGGCCAGCATCCATGTTATTGGTTTTGGGTCGGTGCAGAAGCAGACGTACGCACCACTACTCGAGGTGCAGCAGGCAATGTTACTGCTCCCAGCTTGGCGTCTCGTGGTTGATGCGCTGCAAGACCACGAGGAAACCGTGCAGCAGGCGAATCCTTGGATTTGCGGTTGAGTGTAGTCATTGGATGGTGCGAAGACGGGCGCATATTGCAGGTCGCAGAGCATTTGACGGAGGAGTCGCGTCTACTCGGTAGCTTTGCCGAAAGCTTCGGCTTCTCTCCAGAGGCGCGTGCCAGCTAGAATTCTTACCCTCCTGAAGATTCAAGGGCCGCATTAGCAGGGACTGATCCTGAAAGTTGAAAGTTTGCAGGGGAAAAAATGCATGGGAGGCGCCAGAGCCACTGCCAAGCACGGCAACATACATGGACGCCGAGACTGAAGGGAAGGGTTTTCAACGCCTTGTATGGTTTTAGTGTGTCTGGGATTTCCCCAGAAAGTTAGGAGTCTGCATCAGACACGTATTGATGCAGATGCCTGACGAATACCTGACTGACACCTGACGGAAGGTATCTGCTGGTGCCAGCAGCACATACAAGCACATGTTAGGGCATGGTGCTCTCGGGACGTTCAAATGCAAGGCCTGGGGACTTGGGACAAGGCAAGTATGGAAGGGGATAAATTACGTGGAGTTGCAAATAGCTGCCATGAAGGTTGTTTACGTTCCGTTTCTGGGCTTCTTGGCAGCGTCATGCAACCAAGGACTTCTTGGAAGACATTGGAGATTTCCAGCGAGGGGATTACACGACGCTAGCGGCCAATTCAACACCTTGCCCTGGTTTGGGGTTTGATGTGTTCTTAAAGGTATTGGTCTTCAACCTGGCTAGTTTGCGCCGAGGATTCTGGAATGCACCATGCGCGCTCTGGCTGCCCTTTCGTCGAGATTGCGGCTGCTGCGCTGGATAAGCCACGCGCTTCTGGATGCGATTCCAGCATCATGGCCAGAACGTGTATGTTCTGAAGGTCTACACAGCTGGGAGCCATGTGAACGAAGAGGTGAGGGTGAATTGCGCTGTCTCAGAGGCAATTGAATATAGATGCTGGATATGCTGTCCGGGCTTTCTGCAGCAATCGCGTCCAATTTTGGAAGCATGCTGAGGAGGTGGCGACTAGCGACAGCCCCAGCGCTAGATGGTTGCAGTTCTGACGCTGGGCACAAATCTTGTTGCAATTCTTGGCTGGCTAGCGTAGCTTTCGACAGTATGACGACAAAGTATTTTGGCTGTCATGACCCTTTCAAAGCCTGTAGCTTCCAGCTCTGTCATCGATCCAGCGGTTGGCCTTATCATGATCAGCCCTATTCAGTGCAGATCCCGATCGAAAAGTCACCACCCAATCGGCTCAGCAGGCGATGCTGATGGGCTCCGCAATCTCGCTGCGCGGATGGGCGCGGCACTAGATGTGGCGGCAGGTAGAGGAGAAGCCTTTAAAGCTCAGAATGCATTCGCTTGTTTTTTTCTCTCCAGCTGGCAGCTAAGAACAAGGAATGGGCAGTGTGTTATAAGTTATAAGTGATATTATGTGTGGTGTAGGCGGCAGGCCCAGCGGCCGCTGGCTTCATCCGGGGTATAGGGGTTGCGCTGCACGTACGACCACACATGCCGGATATCTGCCTTGCAGGACTCTTGGAAAGACAAGCCGAGCTTGGCAGTCTGCTGGCTGCAATTTTTTCACAGCATTTTCTGGAGGAGGGATTGAGACGAAGGACGATGGGCAGCAAGGGGCGGAAGTCGTAGTAATCTTGTGGCAGGCCTTGGGCTTGGGGGCTTCCTGCCATGGGTCAAGGCACTGATGAACTGAACCTTGAAACTTGGACCGTTCCAAGATGCACAAGGTCGCACCTACATCCAGACCCTGCGCCACGAATTTGATTTCCTCATGGAGCTTCTTGGCTCCGTGGGGCTCGCCATAGAAACCTGAGCCCAATCTGCGTGGCTTCTTCTGCTTCTAATGGGCTGGAGATTGCATCACAAGTTCATTTGTTGCCTCTTGAAGGCTCTGTGAGTACTGTGTCCCGTGTCAAGAACACTTGTCATTTGTTTGGTGGACCCGCCTTGAGCAATGCTGAGATGTTCAGCATTTGGCCTTCCCAGAATGTTTGCTATGCGACAAATGCAAATGCCCTATTTCCACTCTTGTATGGAGAATGCTGAGGTTCTGTGGAGGAACCACGCAGTCATTGGAGGAGCCATGTACTGTCTTATTTTGTAAATGAGCTTCAAAGGAATTGACGGTGATGTGCCAGAGATGACAGCCGCCACAATGAACTTACTAACTCCAAACAGACAAGCAGTTTTTGCTCTCAATGTGGAACCCGGCTCAGTATGCTCTCAACCAATCAATGTTCCTGTGGAGAAGTGTCCCCTCCCACAATCCCGTGATCATTACGCGTGATATTTTGACCATTAAGACAAGGCATACCGTAGTGTTCGTAGTAGTAGCAGCTGCGGTAGTGGTGGTCGCATTAGTGCTGCTGTAAGGGTTAGTGTAGAGGTGTCCACAATAGTACAGGCTTGTCGGCTTTCTCTGGCTGTCAGTTCCTCGGTAACTTTCACTTCCTCAGCTACCCCACCTTCTCTGCAGCTGCAAGGTTGTTCTGATCTGCTACATTTGCTTCAGGCATACTTGCACTACGACTCATGTGCTTTTAGTATTTCTCTGGAGGTCCCCAAGATTTACGATTTTCCGGGTCGCCTCAAACAAGGGCAGAGTCACAAGCTTGCTATTGCTCCGACCCCCTAGCAAATCAACATCCAACATTATAGGGCGTAGGCATCGCAGAGCTGCGTCAAGATAGGCTTCGGACATCCTGAAAAAGCAGCCCACAAGCTGGCTTAAGATCCTTCACGCCATGGGCACAGGACAAACAACATGTAGCCTTCTGTGTGCTCTTCCGCGAAAAGCCCGGTGCAGAATCGGTATCAGTACAGTAAGGCAGAAAAGTCCATGTTAGGACGTAACTATTAGCCGTCGATTGCCTCCTTATGCCTGATGAAGCGCCGCAGCCGGAGTTGCATGGATGCGCTGTCCGTGCATACGCTGCGGCATGCCAACTTGCAAGGCCTTTGGGAACTTCCTGGGCGAGCGTTAGCTTCCAGTGTACGCCTGCTGAAATGTGGACTGCAGCCCATGCCTGCTAAAAGTGCATGCCTGCTAAGAGTGGCAAGTCAGAGCTTGACTGTTGGAAGGAGCTGCTTCTTGTTTGGAGAATTCAGATCCGCCCAGCCACAGATTGTTGTTGGCTTCTTGTATCAGCGATCATGTTTGATATGCCTTGCTGCGAAGAAGGTAACCCCACCCACCCGGAAAGGCATCCCAGGCGCCGATGGACGGCTTGGAGGGCTGGCCGCCACACCAACCGGCGCTGGGGCCCAGCAAGGTGCCTCCACTACTTAAGTTCCCACGATAGGGCATTCTTCTGGTGGAGAAGACAGATGAGAAGAATTGAGGGAACGTAATGGAACATACCAGGATGGTTGGTCTCCCACATTTGAGGGTCATATCCGCATTTTGCTTGGAATAGCCTAATCTGTGTGGGCTCAGGAGGTTCCCATTACCTCTTGTTCCCTGCCAGACGTGCAACCTCTTCAGCTGGCCTGGTTTTTGTCAGGTATTTGCGCCGAGACTTTGCTCGCGTGCCAGGACAAGCCAACAGCTGGTTGGAGAAGGCGCGGGAGGCGACGCGAACGCCGTGCGAGGATGTTGGGGTTCCCAAAGAGGGAGGGATTTAGAGGGAGGGATTTGGAGGTCGGGTGCGTGTTTTTCACTTAGGCGGGTACTTACTAGATGTCACAAGGATCACAAGGCTTTTTCGTCAGGAAGTATGAAATCGAAGGCTGCGTCCTTAAGCGAAAGCGCAGGATATGCCTTCTTTCCTGCTGCTGCAGTCCCTGCTCAAGTATTCCAGCATCGCCGGCGAAGCGGAGGTCAGGGCTTGGGAGGCGACTGCTGGGCTCAACGGTTTGAAAGAGCTCGAGGCGCAGCTGAAAGACAAAGCAGTGCAGGCGTTCGATGTTTTGAAATTCGAGCTGGCGAAGTTGAAGGACCGCAATACCATGCGGGCAGACTTGCTGCGACCATGCTTCGCATCAATCTCCTGCGATGCAATATGGGAGAAGCTACAGTCAGGCCTTGGTCCCGCAACCGTCTTGGCAAGCCTTTCAGGCTGTGCGCAGGAGGATGCGGAGGTCCTGCTTCAATTCGGGAGCCGCTTGTCTGAGCTGTTCGCCCCGATTGAGCTGGCAAAGCGAGTGGGTCGGCAGGACTGGGACACTCGCCATGGTTCTTTGGGAGCAGCGATGCTGCCTCTAGTGGACCGGGCCATCAGGTCGCTCCAGAAGTCCAACATGCGAGTATCGGTATTTGGTGGCTGCGGCCTCACAGCCACTCTCGCATCCCGGCTCGGGTGCGAAGTTGTAGTCGTCGAACGCCGCTGTTTACTGCAGAAATGCTTGGAGGTGCTCTTCAAGCAGAATGGCCTGGAGAAAATTCAGGTGGCAGATCAAGCAGACCTCACTTCAGATGTGTTTGTGTGGGAGGGGATCGACGAGGATGGAATTCTGGAGTTTGGGCACTGGCATCTGCTGAAATCGCAGTTGGCGCAGCGTCGGAAGAAGGGCCTGCCAGATCCAGTGATCATTCCAGAGGTGGGCCTGTACAAGCGTTGTACAGTGAGGATCTTGGAATTTTGCAGCTGCCCGTAAGCCCTGCCTCTTCCCAGGGGAAGTTTTTTTTGTAAATAGCAGTCTCCACTGAGACCCGACTGCCATATGTGCCCCATGGAAAGCACAGCCAGGCGATGCGAATCCATGCGGCGCTCGTGGACGACAGCCTCGTGCGGATCCGCGGCTGCCGGCTGGGCCGATTTGTTCCTTGGACATGTACGGGCAATAAAGGGGATAGCACGGGGATGATTCAGACGACGCAGTGCCACTGAGAATGAAGATTCTTGTGAAATCATCTAGACTTGCGACTGGCGAGTGGGCTGCACGAATCACAAACCTTATTTCCTGAGTTTCTTCTGTACTTTCTCGCTACCATGTAAGGACTGCATGAGGGGCTACGATCTAGCCTGCTCCCATCGATGGCCCGAAGGCGCCTGCCACATCCGTCCTAGCTTGCGTTCTTCAGCGCAGTGTGTTCCTTGACATCTGGAGTTGAGGGCTGAGGTTTTCCTAGGATTTGGGATGGCGGGAATTCTCCGCACGATCTAGCGGCATAGATCCAGAGCAAGTACAACCGCCATACTTGTGGCGCTGCTACATATTCTTCGTAACAATTCATAAAGTTTTTTCGTAGCTTGGACCGACACCAAGAATACTACTCCAGGATGTGGACAAAACAGAGAGGTTAGCTTGAATAGCTCCCTCCCCTAAAAATGAATACGCTCAATATAGTGCCATTATGTGTTCAGAAGGGATATTCCTTCTTGGTGGGGGGGTGGGACGGCTCGTTATTGGGGATGGGGATTGATAAGGAACTGCTGGAAGTGGCGTGTCTTCCCAGGTCTACGAGCTTGCCCTTGCCCGCCGTGAGTCCGCATTTAGCAGAGTTTTGCTTTTCTTTGTGGGGCGCATGGCCTTTGCAATCTTCGAAGGACATTGCAAGGTGCGAAGGGTTTACATAGAGAGCATGGATGTCAGTTCCAAATCTAGCCTTCCTGGTGGCCTCGTGACCTCCTTGCTGTTAGCAAGTTTGTTTGGGGTAGAGTTTGGGTCCACAGTAGGAGCAATATTAGTTACGTTACAGTAGTGGTTGCTCGTCCAGCATTTTTACAAGAAGTCACAGAAGCATCCTCTCAGGAAAGGGCCCACGTCCCCCCTCCTGTCTCCTCTCCTCTTCTTTAAAAAAAGGGCATGGGTGGACCCTCATGCTAGCAGTTTTAATAGCTGAGACCCCGAGCCCCGAGGCTTCAATGCATGACCCCAAGCAAAAATCCCAGCTGGATCCCGAGTCTAGTCGGGCTGCGTTGGGTAGCTTTGCCATGGTTGTCGCAATCAAGATGGGATCCGTATCTCCCTCAGACCATGAAAATGGTACCTAAATTTGTGCCTCAACTGCGCACAGGCGAGTCACCTGGGAAGGCGTTACTCCGTTTTGGGGCAGAGCCTGGAGCCCCGGTGACAGGCGTGGCCTTCTGGGCGCCCTGGCTGCCACAGGAGTCGGCTGTGTAACCCACCCCAAAGTAGGTGTGCATTTTAAAAGTAACCATGGGTGTTGGCATGCATGTACGTATGTATGTAGGTTCGTAGGTATCTATGTTTAGGGCCATTGAAAAAGGAGCCCCGCGCTCAAGACGCCCTCAAAAGGCAGAGCAGTTTTTGAAGAATTGTAGCATCGTGCAGGACGGTCAATAAGTCAAGGTCGCAGTAGTTTGTGTGAAATTGGCGCTCTTGAGGATCCACCTCGCCCGTGTGTTTTTTTCAAAGTGTGGTGCCTGTTTCTGGAAGCGCCCAGGAGTTAGGACATTAAGTGTTTTGGGATAACACATGCCCCGTGGCATTGGGGTGGGGCACAGTTGTCAACCAACTAACTTGAGATTCCTGTCAGTTTGTGGGCTCATCTTCTTGAAAGACATCCGTAGCTGTTGGCGGAGTATGGCTGCTGATGCTTTCTGAAGACAATGTCAGCCTGAGGGCACGGTTAGGTTCAGGATGTTTAGGCAGTGTTAAGTTAAGGTCGAATTATGGATAGTAGAAATCAGCAGGTAAGAATGCCGAAGATCCAATACGCAACCGCTTCTTAGGTCGAAATACCAGGCCTCGTCATTACCGAGCCTGCGTCGCCAGATGCCAAGAGCACATGGGCGCGCTGCGTGCGCCTAGGCAAGAACTCATGCTGCAATTTTGCTTTGCACGCCCCTACTGCGTGGTTGAGGGGTTGCTTAGAAGTGGAGTGATGTCGAGTGAACGTGGCCTGAGAAAGGACCTTCTTTGTGAAACAACATCTTGTGCGACATTCTAAATGAACAGCAGCCCTTGCCTCTTAGTGGCATTTCTGAGGCAGCCGCTCCCTGCAAGAAGGGCAAGCCTGCAGGGATCAAAGGGCCCGGTTCTAAGTCTTTGGGCCAACTGCTCCGACCTGCACCTTGGCAGCAATCGGCTGGAGCTCCTCAGACGAAACCCAGCTACGTCCAGCTACGTTTGAGCTTTGTGACTGGGAGGGGTTTGCGACTTGCCGAGCCAGGAAGATCTGGTTTTCTTGGGCAGAGCAAGACACCTTGGACGCTTCGCAGCTGCTGCCGCCCTTTGGCAGGAGCAAGCTGCCGCCCTGGCACTACAAGATGTTGAACGACCACGAGCGCAACCGTAGATATCACGCGGCCATCGCCCGCGGCGCAGCCCAGGCTGCTGTTCGGCACCAGGAGAAGGGCTCACAGGGAAAGCCGAAGGTTCTGGACTGTGGCTGCGGTGCAGGGCTGCTCTCGTTGCTGGCTTCCCGGCATGGCTGCGATGTTTGTGCAGTGGAACTCTCACCTTTGATATCTGACGTGACCCTGGAGACTTTCAGAGACTTCACTCAGGAATCTGATGCGTCTCTGATGCTTCATACTGCCGACGTTCGGAGCCTCACACGTGAAGCGCTCGAGTGCAATCCAGGGCATGACCTCATAGTTAGCGAACTCATGGACGCATCCGGCGTTGGTGAGTCCCTTCTCAGTGTTTTAGAACACGCCTGCCGACACCTTGCGGCTCCAGGGGCACAAGTGATTCCCTCCGGGCTGCGCCTGACGGTGGCTTTGGGTTGGCTCACGATGCCAAATTGCCATGGTGGCTTTGACTTTTCAGCTTTGGACATGCTCTCCTTCTGCTCGCTGAGGGGTGGCCCCTTCTCGCAGGGAGAGCCGCTGCCCCCATGCCTGGAGACCGGTGCTTCAACAGGTCAGAGCTCGCTGCCATCTCTCCATGGCAAGGGCCCGTTCACGTCTCGAAATCTGAATCGATTGCGAAGGGGACAGGTGTGGGACACACTCACGTCTGAGGCATGTCTTTTGGACATAGACATCCGCCAAGCCTTACGTGGCGAGTCACTGTACCCCTGCGAAGGGCAGGTGGAACTGACAGTGTTGCGACTTGATCGTGTCGAGTGATTTTTTCTGTCGTGTAAGTCTGAGTTACCCCCATGAGGTGCACGATGCAACCCAATTTTACCCCAACATGGTGCAGGCGTGAGGGCATCGTCAACTGCATCGTTTGGTGGTGGGATGCGCAGTTGGATGAGCATGAAGCGCTTTCAAACAAGCCCCAAAGCCACTGGGCACAATTCAGCCGCTGCTGCTGCTGCTGCTGCTGCTCCTGCTGGTGCCGTGTTTGTATCAAACATACCAGTTAGGGCATTCGCTGCCGGCAATTCTACCCAGAAAGGCTACCCAACAGCTTAAGGCTTCGACTACATCCTCGCAGAATTTAGTGTGCGGATCGTTGTGGCTGTAGTACGATCCATTTTTGCATAGAGGAGGGCCCAAACTTTCGAGCCACATCTTTTGGCCCTGCCAGGAGCCCAGCCCAAAGAAATGCATCTTTGGACCCCTCAATGGGCCCAACCCTTGGAGGCACATCGTTTGACCCCTCAAGGTGCGCAACCTACAGAACTACATCTGTTGAACCCCTAATTGTGCGATGCATCCTGGAGAGCTGCATTTTTTGAAGTCTGGCATGAAAGGCAGGTATGAGGACCGACTTTAAGAGTCATGTGTTGAACGCCAGCTGTGCAAAAGTTTACTATTCTTAGTGGTTACCAAGAGCAAATGGAAAATGTGCTTTAACCGTACACTTTCGTGGAACTAACTGCAGGATTTGTTCCACCTTTCTTCTCGCTGCCCAGGTTTGGGCGGAAGCTATGCGACCCATTGGCACCAGCCCTTATGCCCAGTCGGCCCAGTGCCTGTGGTGGTTGGCGATCGGCTGAAACTGAAGGTTTCGATTTCAGATGTGGCAGGGCAAAAGATGAATTTCACGCCGCTTTGTTGAAGTGAAATTCAGCGGGACCAGAATCCAGTAACACTACAAGTAAACTACCAAGAAACTGCCCGGGCATCGCAACTGATTCGAGGCTTCAACCATCAGCGCCATCTTCTGTGCTGCACTGGCGGGAGGATGCTGGTGCACAGCTGCTGCCGGACCCACTGCAAGACCTGCTTGCGGGGTGGCGCCTGGCCCAACTTTGGACAGCGAAGTAGGAGTAGGCTTTCATGTTTGGCAATGTGTTGACCCGGGGGGACAAAGCTCTCCGCCATGAAGCTGAGCGGAGATCACACTAGCCACTGCCAACTGCTGACACGGCAAAGGTAGGTGCAGCTCTTGTTTATTCAATGAGTCGCTACGCAAAGCCGCCTTTAGGCAAACAGAGATGGAGGAGGCGTGCGCCGCAAACTCGCGCCTCACAAACAAGCTGCTTGATCAAGATTGGCATTGATATAGCTGCGGCAAAGGCACCGCAGGTAGGACTAGAAACCAAGCCAGGCCAGATGCACAGAACATTTCCAGAGTCCGGGCTTGTGTTGGACATAAGAGGTTAGGCCTGCATGTCTTTGTCAAGACTTGGAAAAGGAGCCTCCCATACAAAAAGGTGAAAGCCATAATTTGAGATCGCCACACCAAAAGCCAAGACCTCAAGCTCTCGAGGTTTACCGCCAAGGGCGACCTGGCGGGCTTGGGACAGCTTCAGGCGGCAGTGCTGGTACTCGCTCCTTGGGCAGGATACAGCTCACATGCAAAACCAGGGAAAAGAATTCTGAGCTCAGCTCTAGCCATGTACATGTGACATCTCAGGTTCTCTTTCCGCAAGCGTTCGGCTGCGACCCCTTCATCCGCGATAGATTGCTTCAGACATATTTTGGCATCGCTTACAAGTGAGCGCAAGAAAACAGGGCGGCTGCTTTACCAATCAACTCAAATGGTCTGCGTAGTCCTCGACCCAGTGCTAGCAACCTCTATTAACTTTATTCGCGCATCTGCGTTGTCACCCTGAAGCCGTGGTAGCACATGCCTGTAGGTTTCCTCAGATCGCTTCCAGGACCATGCGCATCTGCGGACGCTCATGTCCGTAGCGCGGATCACGCCCCCAAGGGTCTTGATCGTGGCAGGCTGCCAGCATGTGGGGCAGTTCGATGTGTGACGTTTCTAGATACACGAATTCATTCCAGTTTCAAGAGGGTCCATCCTCCTTCCTCAAATTCAAACTCGATCTTGCAGCTTCGTGATTGTGGAAGACTACTACATCCTGTCTGTGTTTAAGCCCGCAATTGCCGTTGAAGCCGATGCAGCTTGAGGATGTCCTTTCTGTTGCTCATCTGCTTGTGTTGCTCGACGGTCAGGGTCCGACAGTGGAGGCGGTGCTGGCTTGCAGGCCAGATGCGGCGCTGTTTGCCTGCGAGGGTAGGAGGAGAGTTTTTTTTGGCCTGGGCATGAATTTTTCTTGCGGTTTCATTGAGGCTGAGAGCTTGCATGAATGTACTGGAGGCCCTTTCCCTGTCAGGCAGACCTGAAAAGCTGCACTGCTCTCGGGGCCTTCGGCACAACAGCTGTCACGGCGCTGACTGCGCAGAACTCGCACGGGGCTGCTTGGGCTGGATGGGCGGATTTTGGGGTCTTGGCGCCTACGTAGAGGGCAATTGCCTTGCTTGTAGAATCTCGAGGAAGCACTTTCTGCTGCAGGGTTCAAGGACTTGTGTAGAGGATTTTGGTTCGTGACAGACGAATTTCAGGGAAGGATTTCTCCTTCGTGTCTCTTTCCTGATGGTGTGGTTTCTGAGGGATAGTCCAGGAAGACAATTGGACACAACATGAGGCCGTGGCAGCAACGGAACAGCCTCTGTCTTCAGCTGTGCCAAACTGCAAAGAAGCCCAGAAATGGTGGTAAAACGGCTCAACTCTGTAGCGCGTGCCGTTTGGAGATTTTGCGGGCTTTCTCTGCAATCAGCCGAGGTGCAGGGAATCTACCCCATTCCGATTGATTTCCTCCAGTCGCCACTCGCTGGGACATGCTTCTACGCCTCTGTTGGTTTAGATGGTTTGAAGATCACTGGGCGAGACTCAGACCAACGGAATATGAAAGGGCACGGTACGCAGTCATTCGATCTAATTAGCAGCGCTGCCTGTATGTACTTGTAAGGATCAATCCATCAGCATTTTCTGAGGCAAATGGAGTCTGTGCTGACTGACTTCGGAACAGATGTGGCTGCTCAGCCTTTTGTAGTTGCGGAGCATTGTGGTCACTCCTTCTGGCAGAAGTCTGCTCCGTTGTGTTCGGTGTGAGATGAAAACAGTTTTCATCTGACTCTGAATTTGCAGCCGTGAAGTAATGGAAACACGGAGGCAAGCCAATCTGCATGTCTAAGAAGAATGCTGAGTCTGGAATTCCGGCCGACTACAAGGAGATTTTTCCATGAATCCCAGCGGACGCAAACGGCAATATGTCCGTTCAGGTGAAGACAGGGATGCTGGCCACTACAGAGATTGTCTGTGCTGTTGCGACTGCGCTGAAGGCCGACTTGTGTGTGCAAACTTGAGATGCCCTGTCATTTGTAGCACACTTGTTCCAGAGAGCACTGGCAAATTCTGCCTTAAATTCTCTTCTCCGTGCGGAAATTGCAGCAATCTTCAAGAAAGCCCAAAATCATGCTTTTTGCAGTTAGCACCGGATGCTGTAGTTTGCTCAGAGCTTCTTGGTGCGAAGCCGCGGAGCGGAAACTTGGCAAGTTCCTGCTTGGCCTCGTGAGAGGAGCACGTGGCACCCGCAGAGCGCTGGCGGCGTGTCCTCGTTGTCGACCCCGCGGCTTTGCCATTCAAAGGTCGTTTAAGGGTTTCTTCGCGACAGCATGTGGAGTTAGACTCTAACTCCACATGCTGTCAACAGTTCGATCATGCAGAGGAATCACGGGTTGCTAAGGGTTGTGGTGAGGACAAGTTTCTGAGGGATGGTAGAGGAAGTAGGAGGACTGGGAGGGCAACTGTTGCATTTTGTGCTTGCTATGTTTGTTGAGCACTAGGAATACATTTGGAACACATTTTTTGCAGCAGTAGAAAACATGAAGACATCGATTTGAGGGCTTGCGTTGATGCCCATGGCCGTGTTCAGTCATGCCTCAACAATCTTGGATGTGCAGGAGTGACAGAAGGTCTTTTAGTGTCCCATTACTTCCATCATGGAGGCCTTGTATGCAAAGTGCCAAGAAGACGGGATGCTATCTGTCTTCCCTGCGCCCCAACGATAGCTTGATCTCTCATCTCTGGGTCTTACCAGCCGACATGTGAAAGAGGGCTCATGTAACTTCTCGCGGAGCTACCTCTCCAGCGTGTCACGTGATCTGAGTGCTCATGCCACCTGACCAGTAGCTTGAACCAGTGAGGTCATGGTTTCAACCAGCGGGCATAAGCTGCTTGGGTCGAATTGAAGTGGTGACATGCCGGATCTACAAGAAGGAATCTGGCCGAGATGCTGTCAAAACTGCTTCCGGTTCTACTTAGAAGCATGCCTGCTGGGGTTGTGTTGCGCAAGTCAATTTTTCTTTCGCCGTTTATGAGGTCCTTTATGCTCGCCCCCTTCTACCCTTGATTGCTATTCGCGCTTCAGGCTGCTGCAGCCAGATGCAGTGGACAGCGTCAAGAAAGAGCTGCTTCCAGGCTGCCAAATTAGGGAGGCAGCTTTGTCATGCCGGGCGTTTGCTCTTGTTTGAAGCCTACATAGTTGCAGCTGAGGTTTCCGCTGGCCACCATCATCACACCCAATTTGCCCGAGGAGCGTTGAGTTCGCCGGGGGGCGTTGTCAGGAATTCTTTCTTTGTTGTCCTGTTCAGGCAGATATGTTTGGGGTTTCCTTCGCTGGGGATGACATGGGGTAGTCGCACTCGGTTTGGCTGTGAACCATCAAAATCCGCAACACATAAATTCTCAACAGAGTGGGTACCCCCACTCCGTTTTAATCACTGATAGCTAGACCTAAGCTCCGGGCCAAGCGCCTTCACAGAGCGTTGGTTCCAAGTTTCTTTTGTAGGACGTTGATAGAGGCCGACTCAGGGTCAAGGCAGTGGATGTTCAGGGCTAGTCCCGCATCTTTGAGCCATCAAATGTGCAAAAGGCTCGGCTTCTCTTGGGACGCGATGACATCGATAGTGCAGAGAGCTGAGCTGCGCAGAACGTGTTGTGCAGATGTTGGGGTGCAGGCAGTCAGTAGATATCTTCATGGATGCTTATCATCAACTCTTTAACCAGAGACCAAACTTAGTTGTTGTCCCACTATTCCAACCCCGTGCAATGGACTGTGCTGCACCTATCAAGGTGGAAGCCATGAGGCAGGCTGCCAGAGAACTCGCGGCCCTGGGCCCCGAGTGGGTTCTGGTGAAAGGCAGGCAAATGGTTTTGGGCATTTCGACATGTTTCGACTTTGCGACTTACATTCGCTGCCCGAGCCTCCATTTGTATCTCTAGCCAGACTCTTGCCGTTGCGATCCATGGGGCATTCAGAGCCAGCTGCTCTTGTCAGGCGGGCACCTCGCTGAGAGCCAGGGGCTCAACGCCTCTCACTGTCAGACTTGCAGCAACATGAGTTGATTGTTTCTGTCGCCAGTGCCAGGTGAAGATGAGATGGAAGCGACGCTCGTTACTGCAGTATTTCTTGAGTACACGGCAGTGCCTATTTTGGAGCGCTCAGGGTCGTGTCATGCGTCTTGCCTGCTGGTTCAGAGCGGTTAAGGACGGATGTGCTGTGCAATGGCATCACTGGCGAGTGCACGGCCTTCAAGTCCACAATGGTCAAGACCTCGCACACGCATGGCACAGGACCACGGCGCCTCACTGCAAGAACCAAGATAATGTTGTGCTGACAGGTCTTAGAGCCGCATCGTGGCAGTGATTCGTGGTAAACCAATTCTGGGCTGATGCTGGGGGGTTGATACACAGGGGCTTTCCACCCTCCGACGAAGTTTTTTCCCTTGTTTTACCGCGCACGATCCCAGGCTACCGGACAGCATTAACTAAATGGTTGGTGGGGCCTGCTGCCTGCTTTCTCGCAATGGAGTTAGACTGTGGCAAAGCCCTGAAAGGGAGATAGGACTGTCGTTCGTCACCGGTATTCCATCTGAGCAGCCTACATTTGCGCAAGAGAGTCGAAGGCTAGGCACGTTGGTATTTTTGCATCTGGATTCAGCGTTCCTCTGGGAGCGAGATAAGAGCCTTGGATTGAACGAGATAGGCCACAGTTTCCTTTGCAACGAAAGCCCAGTACATCTTGAAACATGGTGAACGAGATCGGGTCAGTTTGTCAAGCTACAATACAAGATTAAACATAAGGCGAACGAGATGAGGGGCCGTGGATTAAAATGCCGCATAAGGCCCGGGTAGTAATTAAAAGCTGCGGCTCATCTGGTTCTTGTTGCTGGAGCAATCGTTTTCATTTTCGTGCCGCCATTACAATTGTGGGTGGCGAGGTTGTTTATGTTATCGGTTGTTTTTTGCTGTTGATTTTTCTCATTGCGCGTTCAAGAGCTGCAGCTGTGGTTTGGCCGCATCCATCGCCCGTAAATACACCAGAGCACAGTGCAATCCTTGTTCTTAGCACCCCTCCGAAACGAGAGGCCACAATTTTGACTCCCGTTGTCTAGCCCCGAACCACTATGCAGATGATTAGACGGACTTCCCAAAAAACGGCACAAAAATCACAAGAACATCTTTTGGCAATCCTTGTTGCAGCCCTGCATAATTCTAAAGAAGGACTCATTTGAAGCTATCCCCAGCAGGATGCACATTGGCCTCCTCGATAGCCAGCTGCCTGGCGAGGGGGATGGAGGTGCCGCAGGCCGTCCAGGCCAGTGGGCGAACCACCGGGTTTCTCAGCAACACGGAGTGCATCATAACGTCTATGGCTCGTGCAGATGTGCCCTTTTTGGGGTTCCTGCTGTTTAAAGTCTTTGACTTCTTGGGTGTGTATACATGGGTCTGGATGAGTTCCTGAGTCCCAAGTCATGCAGATGCCTCCTTAAAGCTGGCCTGGCTTTTGTTCCAGACGGCGACCTGGAAATTTGCTTCAGCGTAGCTGTCTTGTGTTTCACCATGATTCACCATGTGCCTAGTGAGAACGCGCGCCCAGGTGCCCCGGAGGCATTTAACTTACGAAGCTTTTTGGTCCGGCTAGGTTTTAATTCAACTTCGTCCAGGGCCAAGGTGAGCAGCACAGAAAATACGAATCTTACGACCACAGATTCCGCGCTTGTCAAGCCACTTTCCTTCGAGGAGGCCAAGCGTTACGTCAGCGGGGCCATCGCGGCGTCTGCGATGCTTGGCTTTTTCTCATGGCTTTGCTTGCTTTGAGGCTGCGTACCTTTCTGATGCGGAACCTCGTATTTTATGCACAGAGCCATGGCTTGGAAACCGCGTGCATGCAGAACATGTCACAACCCCGAACTAATTCAGGGCCAAATGCTCTCAGACAGAGCTTGCGAATGCAAACATGTAGCATGCCAGGCGGCCCTCAGATCAAGTGCTGTCATTTCCAATTGTCCTTTGGTGTCTAGTAGAGTGGAGCAGGCATCGAGCATGCTACGCATGATGGCGCGATATGGGGTATGCACTGATGCGACTGCTGCTTATGACGAGGCACCTAGCTTTGGGGACTGGCCCGCAGGGGCCCATGAACCACAGTCCGCGGCCAAGCTTGTGTCAATGCAGTGTGCACCCTTTAAGCCTGCATTCCATTGTGCTGCAGCAGCCGAGGCTGGAGACTCTTCGAGTGGTGATTCGTAGGAAAGCCTAGTGCCGACTTTGGCTTTTGCATGCTTTTGCAAACGCAAAGCTCTGCAGAACATGACGGCTTCTGCACCTCACATGTATTCACGTTGGTTGTGAGGGTCTTCAAGTCGCATTGTAGAAGCTTACAACTTTATCCTGGCCTTGTCAGTCGTCGTCATCCAAGAAAACTCGCTGCAATGAATGCTGCAGTTCTGCAGCTGAAATGGTGGTCACCGGCAACTGCTGTGGAAGGTTTCGCCCATCATGAAAACAGGATTTGACACATAGGAGCAGTCGGGTGCTCGCTGCGTGATGGCACTCTTAAGCCTTTTCTTTCCCAGCCGGCGGCAGGTAAGGCAGATGGCCTCATTCGCAGACACCGTCGGCAAGGTTTGCCGTTGATCGTGATCACCCAGCCATGATGACATCAGCTTGAGTTGGCCAATTCCTACATTATGCCTAGATGTGACGATTTGGAGCTGCTGGTCTGTCGGCTTGAAGGACTTGCGGGCATCCCACATCGACATTGCCAACGGTGCTGACAAGAGCAGCTCGCATTGGCAGGCGCCAGTGTGAACGCGGAAGCGGGGCATGGAGAGGAAGCTGATTAGCGAACACCTCCAAGAGCATTACTCGATTTCATTGACGTTATCGCCGTGATTCGGCATTCAGCAAGAGCTGCGGTTGGTGAGCTTGGTCGCCAGGCTGTCCAAACCTCCGAGATGGTGTGGCTCTTAGACTTCAGGGGCGTCCACTCTAAGCAGAGCTGTCAGGTGTCGCGATTGTTTAGGTCCCCTGCAAGCGAAGAGTAAGCGAAGAGTTTGTCTGGTGGTTTCTTTTATTTCCATTGCTTTCTCTTTTCCCAGCACGGCTTTCGGGCACGGCAGCCGTTGTGGCGGGGTTCCCCCAGAAGAGCCATTTAATTGCTCGTGTCGCGGGCTTGCGCTGTGGTGTGGGAGAGCTTAGCTGTTCTTATTCTGACCTTCGATTCTGACCTTCGTCCACACTCTCTCGTGCTGCCATGCCTGGCTTTGGCATACAAGACGGGGCTTGAGCCAGTGAGTGTAGCGGAGGCAGGGACCACCATGCTTTCATCGTCTCCACAAACTTTTCTCTGTGATGCCCCCAACTTTGACGCTTAGGGCCTCGACGATGACATCTCCTAGGCTTCCTACACGGCATCTTTTTACATGCAAATGACCTTCAACGAGCTATTGCGATTCTTGACATTCAATAACCTTCAAGATGACACGTGAGCCCTCCGCCACAGCCCAAATTCGCCAAAGCCCATACCAAAAAGCATCCCATAATCCTATTTTTGCTGGATAAGAAAGACACGGCAGCCATGGTTTTCATTGAGGGCATTGCGCGCCATGATGAGGCAGGGCAGGGCTAGGCTGTGCATCTGGATTTTGTATGATTTTGTGTAATGATTCACAATGTACTTGGATTGTGTCTAGGTGTCCTTTTCCTTGCTGGCAGGTGCGTGGCCGACAGCACCGGCTGCATGAGCAGCTTGTCTCCAAAATGCAAATTATCAACTTCAAGGTTGAATGCCCCGGGCTTTGAAAGCAAAACATGCAATTGCCTGCGCATAGAGACAGGAGTTGTCCCACCAAACTGTCGCAGCATGCCAACTCATCTCATAGTGTCAAAACCGTAAACGTATGGAAGTCTTAAAGGCTCGGTCAAGCACGCAATGCTCCAAGCAAGGACATCCTGCAGGCCCCAAGTCTGGGCCGAAATTGACAGCCCCAGAAACAGCACAGAGCCAAGTGCTTGGGTTCCTGGAAGCCTTTCTTGTGGAGCTTTTTGCCCAAGATGCCCACAGAAAAGTTTATACTTGCCTTCTATTTGCTGGACCCTGAACCCTTGTTGTCATAGACGGAAATGACACGCTTGTAGGTGAGCACCATCATAATCCGTTCAGCACAAGACCCTTGGTTTAGGGTTGGAGGTACCGAAATCTCTCCACTACCCGGCTGGGCCTACGAAACTGTGGGGGGTTGCTAGAGTATCCGCATACTTTGTCCTGAAACGGGTCCTATAAAGGCAAGTTGTGTCTTTTTAAAGACGGGGCATAAGGATTTCCATGGCAGTTTGGGGAGATTAAATCCGTATATCACTGCAATATCCTCCTACACAACCCCACAATACCGCTACAATACCCAGCCTATCCCTATCCGAACTGAAACCAGCGCTCACACAAGCAATCACTCTAAGGCTCCTCAAGCGGCATCCATGTCAAATGTTGGAGTTATCCTAAATGATAAACTCAAAACTCTAATCCCTAAACCTTAAACTCCAAATCCTAAACCCTAAGCCCTAAATCCCAAAGCCTAAACCACAGGAAGCAGTCTGAGCCTCTCAAGCCGGGCCTGGTGGCTGGAAGCGAGGAGCCTGGAAGGTTTGGGGCAAAAGGGTTTGATTTATTCAAAAGGGTTGTTCTCAAATGGGGTTATAGATTCTCTTACGGCACCTTATCATATTTAGGGGCATCAAAATGGGACCCTAACTTATCTGAAGATGAAGTAAGTCTACGGCACATTTGGGGTGTAAGGTCCGCCGTTGAATTAGGGCTTAGTTCAGAATGGATTTCGCACTGCAAGGGGATTCTCGATTTTAGGTTGTTGATGTTTCGAGGCTGTTGGATTGACCAAAGGATACGAGACCGAAAGTGCCTGGGAGCCCTGGTGGTAAGCACGTGCCGCTCGCTTTGGGGTGACGTGAAGAGCAATGTAACGGCTAGGCAGTATCCTTCCGTTGAATTTGAGTATTATCCTACCGTTTAGCGCGTGGCACCAACAAAGCATTATAACCATTCAGGCCCCGGGAGTAGCCGCTTTGCAATGCTTAGGCGATCTGCCAAAGATCCCGGAGGGTGACTTGCCCTACCCAGATGGCAGCAATGCGCAGGCCTGGCCATGCGGAGAGTGAAGTGGCTGCTGAAACAAGAAGACTTCAAAAAGATGTCCACTTTGATTTGACTTGATTTCTACGTAGTCCCGCTTTACGGCCAGGGGGACTCATCGCCATCGAGAGTCCGCGATTTGTCGAATGCAATCTGGCAAAACACTGGGTACGGCCTGCTTGGGTTGTTGTCGTGGTAGCTTGTCGACGGAGGAGCGAGGCCTTACGTTTACAAAAGATCCCGAACGCAGGCCCCAAGTTGCGGGTTTTGACTCGCCGATACTTCTGCAGACCTCCGGCACTTTTTCCTCAGGTCTCGGTTGACATGGAGTTGCGTGGAGAATGGGCTGGATTCGACCTGCTGCATCTTGCCAAAATTTGCTTAGAGCTTCAGGTTTACGGCAGGGTGAAATATGATTGCTCGCGTGGTCCTTCCTGTATTTCGCTGCCCGTTTCGGAGAAGTGTCCAGGTAAGGTGTGCAAGACGCAGTTGTCACAGGCGGTGTCAGATTTCTGTGATCCCATCTGAGGACCGTGGGTGGAGAGAAGCTCATGGTGCATCGTCGCGGGAATCTGGTCATGGTCTCTGGTTGCATCACCACAGTGCCGGGGACTTGGAGATTCTGGTTGGGCAGAAGTGAAGCCATGCTTCTCAGATGTCGTTGTTAACATCGTACTGCAGACGCAGAGACACCACAAAGGTCACCGATGAAGCAGAAGGCAAACTTCGACCTCAACATTGGCCAGGCATTTGGGGTAGTTGTGCTTCCGTCATGCTGCAGCTGATTCTTGCTGTACGTATGTCATCCACAGATGGGCATGCGACGTCGCAGGGCTGCCTCCAACCACCCAAAGTACTGAGTCTCCTGCGAGTGTTGTTTGTCCTTGTGGATGCAGGTTCCTCACTATTGCAATCCGCAGCGCTACATTCCCTTCGTGGCTCCCACTGCCATGTCACGCTACGAAGGCTTCGTCCTCGCTGACCCTGTCCGATTTTTTTGATGTGAGGGAACGGTGATGCATACTGGGACTTTTCTGCTACAAAAAACATTGCGAGGCATCAAGCAATGCGGCACCAGCTCAATACTGCGAGATGATGGCACTTGCCTCAAACTACGCGTCAGCCACAAGGGCAGCAGTAGACGGTAGACACTGAGTCAGCACGATCAGGCAAGCTGATGATCAATTTCAACAAGCGCCTCGGGTCGTTTTGATCGTCTCGCTGTTTCTGCAAAATTTGAGATATGTAAAAGACTGGGGTGATTTCACTTGTTCAAATCTCGACAAATAATGAGCTTACGGGTGGCCTTGTTCACAGCCAGTGCGCAACGTGAATGATGGATTGCAACTCACGTTCTATTTCAACTCCCTTGAAGTATTTTTCATGTTCCTGCTTTCACGGCAGTGCAGGTCGCCGCCTGCCATAATCACAGGAGAAACGACGAGGCATGTCTGTTGACACGTAGTGCCTGAGGAACACGAACCCCATGGTGCTGCACTTCTCTGGTCTCATCTTCAACGTCCAAGGCCTGAAAGCATCCTTGATCAAGGTTTTTCATCCCAAAGGTCACTGCTCCGTACAGAGGAAGCCTGGACTGTCTCTAGCATGCCCCGGCGTGAAGCCGTGCTGGCAAAAATATTCAGGTCAACAGAGGAAATGAGCACAGCCAGCGGTGCATCTGCTGATACAGCCATCATTGCCATGGCTGATTAGCCTTAGCATTTGACGTCCAGCATCTTCCGGCCTTTTGGATACGACCCTTGCCATCCTGATGTAGCTTAATTTGAATCACAATTATTTGGAGCTCTCCCTCTTCTAGCTGCAAACCCGCAGCGTCAAGAAAAAGAACCCCTCAGCGTCAAGTTATAGACCATTGTAATCCCAAAGCCGCGGAGATCCTGACGGCTCTGTTGGTTGCTGCAGTGCTGTCTTGGCCTCCCAGGATAAAGAGCCTTGAGCTTCCAAAAAGTGATAAGGCGTAGTGTAAGCCAAACAGATGTAGTGAATGACTGCAGGCGAGCCGGAAGAGGAGATTGAGATCGCGCACCGGGACCGCCCCAAACCGGGCAAGGACTGCGCAAGCGTTGTCTAGTTTTTTTAGGATATGCCTCGAAAGTATTGGTTTGACCCAGCAGGCAGTCCAAATGGAATGTTGCAGCGGTTCCGAGTTGACAGCAATGTGTCATTGTTGGCACCCTGCGCGGTGATATAGGGCGTGATCCTGTAGAAGTCAACAATCTTGAGACTGAGATGGCCCAACGTTGGGCAAATCCATTGAGGAGGTGAAGGATGTCCTGGGCAAGGGCAAAGGCAAGGGCAAGGACGGGGCAAGAGTGCGCATGCAGAGACTTGAACAAAAGTAGCTCGCGTTGGTAGCAAGGCCACGCTGCAAGCTGAGAATTAGTTGCAGACGTCTCGGAGTGTACTTTACTCGTAGCCTTACATGAGTTGCAGATTCAGGAGGAGATAGTTGTTGCCATGGTCCGCTACCAACATGTTGCAGACATGCAAAGGTAAGGCACTTGTTGGTTGTGCTTGGCCTTCTGCCATCTAGACAGATCCGTCTTATTTCAGCACATGTTTTCTCGAAACGGGCAAGTTTTGGTCATGCGCAGTTGGCATGCTCGAAGCAGCCTTGTGGCGAGAGGACGAAGACATGTCACCTACGAGGCGCCAAGAGCTTCGAGCATCACAGCAGGAGCTATGCATGTTTTGATTCAGCCCAGGGACAAAAATCCGACCTGTGCTTGCGAATGCAGGACCCACCCGGATTGCAGCGGGAGAACGGCATTGTGACCCTACAGGCTGCTGTCTCGCATGATTTGGCAAAAATGTACTGACGTACTGTGACTGCTCACCAGACACTTTGCATTCTTTCCTTTCTGGTGAGGGCTCACTCCTCGAAGCGACGTATGGATTCTCCAATCTGCTGGTTGGCTACTTGCCAGAGGCCTTGTCTACAGACACGTCCTGCCATCCCGTAGCCGCTTTTTTGCAGACCCTGGGGCATCTGGATCTACCATGGCTGGACCTGGAATGTTCTGGGTAGCATGGCAGATGTTTCTTCGACTGAAGTATTGAGTATCGCTCCAGCATATGGTGCCCACACGGTGTCGATAGGAGATCATCTTCTGAATGATGGCAGCAGCGATTGCTGCTATTCTCTAGCCTTTGCGCAGGGCTACCGGCCCAAGCGCGAGATCCGCTGCCTGGCGCCGCTGATTCATATGCCCAAGCAGGCGCATAAAACCTGGTAACAGCAAGAAGGTTGGCACTGAGCAGTGACTACACTGTTCAGTGCAAGTTTTAAACGGCAGCCAGTTTGGCGTGAGCAGCGCATGTGATGCAGTAGCACAAAGAGACATCGAGCAGCCTTTCAGAAGCATCTTTTGAAACTGAGCCGTGCCAGGATGACTTTGCATGCTGCCCCATTGCTGTACCTGGGCCGCGCTTGAGCCACCGCTTGGTGGCATGAGGGTCATGACTTAAAAACACGTGACGGGCGCAAGTTGTCTCGAAAGCGTACATCTTTATCAGTATGGCTTGCCATGGATTTTGCTCCTACCTTAGGATCAAACCATTGCGCTGACTGTGAAGCCTGACGGCAACATCTTCGTTCAGGGTGGCAACCAGCATGCCGTGGACCAGAAGCCTGGCCCAAATCAGATCATGCTGAGGAATTGGCTTGGCTGGCAAGGTCCCAGAGTTTCAGCTGATGTGACTGTAAGCTCTCCCTCAGCATTGCTTCAATCGGAGTCGACTGCTTTTGCTGTTCCTGCTACACTCAGGAAGGGCCTCATGCGTGTGCTTCCACAGAGAAAGAGGGGCATCCTGAGTTTTGATGGCATCCGCTTCTCCCAGGCCAATCAAGGGCCGCAAGCATGCAGTTCAGAGGCAGATTTGAGATGACTTAGGGTCAAGCCGAATAGCTGACACAACCTGCAGAGACGCATCTGAGGTTGCCAATAACCCTCGCAGCAGGTTTGGGCAGCAAGAAGAGCTCTAGCAAGCTGTTGCAGAGCCTCTGGCACATGAAAGGGACATGGGGAATTTCAGTCGCTGGGTGGGTGTGAGAAGGTAAGGCACACAGAATTGAATTTTTCGAGGTAGTAGAACTACATGCTGAAGTCCCAGTGCAATTCCAAAGTACATGTAATATGGAAATGGGGAGCGCGCGTCCTGCTCGCTGGTGGGGCTGAGGAAGCTTGGCAGCAGCGACAGCTCAGCTATCGCGTTGAAGCATGGCGATTTGGTTCTGCCCCTCGTTCCAAGATCTGAAAGCTTGCTGGGCTCACCACATGCCATTGACCTAGCTCGATTTGACTGGTCGCTTGCGCCAGGCTTGAGGGCGGATTGGACTGGTCGCTTGGTTGAGATATTCGCAGGAACTGCTGGGAGGTTGCCTTCCGACTAAGCTGTGCCATAGAGGGACCGTTGCTAAGCTGCTAAGGACCAACAGCAAGACACTCAACAACAAGCAGGTCATTGCCAGATTGCCGGAAGGTGCATGCCTCTGCAATGTCAGGTTTGTTTGAGCACGCGCGGGCTCGGTTCTGGCAGGCTGCTGGCCACGCCGACGGGAGATCTTCTTCACTCGAGGGCGAGATGAGGACTGGGTATCGTTGAGAGCCTGCTCCGAAGAGATTTTTGATACATTGGCCAGGAGAGACGACGTGTCGACATCGACATGTGGGGGCGGATCTTTTGCCCTGAAGGCTCTGGCTTCCACCTTTAGCTTTGGGTGTCAGGTTTGGATCTCTGCTTCAGAACAGCATGGTTTCTTTCATAGCTTGGGCGAAGACCGGAGCCAGCTAACAGTGTTCGCCAACTAGTGCTTGCTCATTGGAAGATGCCAGGCTATTGCCACACGAATAAGAGACAGCTGCTTCATATTGTATTCTGATTCAGCCGTCGCTCCTCAATATATACTTCTCGAAACACGATTGCCAAGATGGTGGCTGTAAAGCGTGTGCGCGCGCGCCCGCTGACTGCAGGTGACGACAAGACGAGTGACGGTGGCCATGTCGAGCTCAGTGGCGCCTCTGCTGCCCCAAGACTCGAGTCATTATTTCTTGTCGAAGTGCAGCCAGCTTGCATCTCGTATGTTGGCCAGCTGCAACGACTCCATGGGTGATTTGCAACTCAACATCTAGCTTTACAGCCCGCCGGGCTTTGCCCTATCTCGGCATGAAGGTCCCAATGTTTGACTGACACAGCCGAGGCATTGCATTCATGGCTGCCGCCGAGCCACCTCTGCTTCAACCACTGGAACCAGAGTTTGATGACCTGACACCCGGCTCCTCAGTGCAGCGAAGGGTGTTGGACTAAGGATTGTTGGGCTTAGGCGTCGGACCAATGGTAACCGTACATCAGATTGTCTACAAGCTGTAAGAGCATGAGACATGCGCATGCACTGGCCGGTTGGCTAGAGTGCACCTGCCTGTTCATGCCAAGCAGGCCCTGGAATGTTGTGCCATGAAGCTCTTCCTGCGCGATCCCAGGAAGCTTCTGTACAACCGCACTGTGGTGGACGTTGCAACTTCGACTGCAAGCTAGCCGTCGGCTTGGGAGTGCCCCTGCTTCCACAATCCAGTCTAAACTGTAGCCTTTCAGTAGGACCTCCAGACTTCACAATCCAACCGTCCGAAGGCAGCTGGTTCCTTCAAGGGGCATGAGCTGCTGGAGCAGTTCATTCGACGGTGTAGTCATTACGTGCCCTGGCAGGGGATTGCCGGAAGCACGCGAGGAATACGAAGGCTTGTGTTATCTGCCTTGGGGTGTGTTAGAAGTCGCATCGGGTCAGCGCGAGTGGAGATGCAAATCAAGATTCATTTGATGTAACTCCACGCGGGGTTGCTGCGACTGTTGCTGGCCGCGTGCACGAGGTAAATCTCCCACTTGATGTGAGCGTACCCGCGTTGACGTGGCTTAGCCCGTCACCTTGTAAGGCGTTCATGGCGCTCGTATGTTCAGAGTGCTGATTTTTAAAGGGGCTGTTGGCCTGCTATCAGGTTCAGGTTCCAGCGTAGCGCTTGTCAAATGGCTTGTCGAACCGAAGGAGTGGAACCTGCTGAAGTACAACATGGCCCGGCATGCTGGTCGGAGCATGCTGACTCCTTTGGGCGATGCGCCGCTCAGGGGTTTCTTGGCATTCTGGTTGCTGAATTTGGGCACACTTTCGTGCAGGTCCACGGCTTGATTTGGTCCACGGTTGGTTTGAAAACAGCTTTGGTAGCCAGGGAGGTTTTTGCCGTGTGGCTACGCACGTAGCGCTGTTTCAGTCTAGCCTTCGCGCGAGGTGGATGCTTACCAGAAGCCCATGGCAATTGTTGGAGTTCAACGCTTAACATTTTCTGCACCATACGTGAACCAGGTTGGGAGCGAGGCAACGAGTACAACCTCGACAAAGACTGTCACCGAGACTTGGCACGGTAAAGGCTTTTGATGGGTTACCTTGGCATGCTGATTTGAATCAAGGGCTGGGGTTTTGAAGAGGTGGTTGGCAGCTATAGCCTATAGGAATGTAGATGGGAAGCAGGGCATTTTGTGTAGCAGCATTGGCGTTTGTTCTGGCTTCGATTGAAATCAGATGCTTTGTTGTGGTTGTTGAGCTGCACTGCAGGTCTTTGGCGAGATGTGCTGAAGCACAAGCTGGACGAGCCCAGCGCTCAGCGAATCGGTTGGATCGCTTAGGGCACATTAGCAACGCATGCTTCTCAATCAAAACGATGTTCAACATATTTGCCAGCCATGCTCGACCAGGCACTGGGGCATAACCACATGGCACACTTTGATGCACCTCTCGGATGCGATGCTGGACAAGGCAACTGGACAGGTTTGGTATTGAGCCGGGGCTTCACATTTTCGAGCACGACTGAATGTTTAAAAAGGGGGCTAGAGAAGTTCGCCACATTGCTCAGGTGCTCGAGTGTTGCAGCCAACAGCTGGGCGACCGCGACCGCAAGCTGCTGAAGAAGAGCAAACGCATTTGCGAAGGATGTTTGTCATCATTCCAGTAGGCTGTGCTTGCCTTGAACCAGCAGACCGGCTTCTGGCACTGATGCCTCACGTGCTTGTTGACCCTAGGCGGTACTCATGAGACATGCCAACGGGGGCATCATTTAGGAAGCAGAAACACTTTGGACACCACAACCGGCTGTATCCGATCCCGTTTTGGGACTGCGACAGTATGGCCACCCTGGGTGAGATCCGGCTTGCCTACCTCACCCGACATCTGTCCGCTTGGAAGCCAGGAGATTGGGAAAGAAAGCGCCACCCTGGGCTGAACTTTAACCGCCTGGGGGAGATTGCAGCAGAAACTTGGCCACAGCAGGGGGTCGCTAAAGGTTTGGACAAAATATATGAAAGACCCAAGTAAGCAAAGTGCTCAATACTGGACAACGTGATGCGAGGAACAACACTGGGCTGGTCCCATGCTTGGTTGGGTTTTCCTGATTTCGCTCGTTGATGCCTCGTTGCATTCTGATGAGAATTGATGCCTCATTGCATTCTGATGAGAATCGTCCCAGATCTCTCCCTTTTTTATGTTGGGCCGGCCTGCAAACAGGCCATTCGCCAGCCACAGCTGTAGCAATGTCAGGAGTCAGCAGTAGTAATTCTGATTGTTGCTGTTACTAAAAATGACTGGTCTGGGTGGTGGTGGTCGTGGTGGTGGTGATGGTGGTGGTGGTGGTGGTGGTGGTGGTGGCGGTGGGGGTGGTGGTTGTGGTGGTGCTGGTGGGGGTGGGGGTGGTGGTGGTGGGGGTGGCGGTGGCGGTGCTGGTCCTGGTGCTGCTGCTGGTGCGGTGGCAGCAGTGGTGATGGTGCGGCTTATGTAGTAGCAGGACAATCGCATACAGTGTGGACAGGGCTGCTCAGAGCTGCACACCAAATCTGTCGCACTGAGGACATTGTTGACCACATGCTGCTCCGACTCAACGAGTCTTTTTCCATTGATTGGCTGCCAACATTGCAAAGTAGGAAGGGCTTGAAAGGCCGTGCAATCACCGCGTGAGATTGTCTAGGTGACATTGGGGTGGATGCAGGGGGCAGTACCGCGCATCCGCAACATCAGTCGCCGCGGCCAAGGTTTGAGCACTGGGACTTTTCGGCCCAGCTACAAGGCCTTATGAAGTCAGTCGGCTGCATTGAGAAGGTTAGGAGTGTGAGATGTGCTTTCTTTTCCAAAACGGTGCGCTCGCCAAGTTTTAGGGTCTCGGCAGTCCATCTCTTAAACAGGAACGACTTCCGCGCTCCGGAGACCATCAAGCATCTTTTTCCGCGGCATGTGGCGAAGTGGCAGGAGAAGCTTATCAAGGACCAGGGTGATGCTTCAAGGCTCTTGGTATTGCAGGGAAAGACATGCTGGTCAAGACAGCGTGGCTTCCCTGGCTTTGCTGCATTTTCAAGCCAACGTTCTCCAGAGTTTCGCCCTGAACCTTTATGGCTTCAGCAGAGCCCCTGCAAGGACAACATAGCTGAGAAGGAAATGGGGAAGTTCGAAGAGATCCGGCAGTTCTTCTTCCTGTATGAGACCACAGGGAGCAACATGATGCCTGTCTGAAGATCGGGCCAAGGCTACAGCCAGGGTTCACATGAAATTCTTAGATGGGGCCGGATCAAAGCCGTATGGGCCCTTGGTCGGCTGGCTGGGGATCTGTGGAAATCCTGAAGGCCAAGTCAGGTCATCTTGGATCATACGGATGCGTCATTACGGCAGTACTTGTCAGTTTTGGTTTGACTGGACTCTTTTGGCAGGTGTTGGGTGTAGATTTCCTTTGAGGTGTTCCTGTCATCGCAGGGGCTAAGGATTGTGTTTCATTGACACGAGCTCAGGTTGGGTGTTTTTGAATTTGTTGCACTAGAGGAATATTGGCTCGGGCATTCCCTAGACAAACGCCTAGAGATGACCCCTTCCCTGTAGTTCGGAACCCCAGCTACGAGCATCGGCAGCTAGTGATTGAGTGATTGAGCTTTGGGACGAAGAACCAGGTGCAAACAAACCATTGTGTAATGAAGTACACTGCTGTAAGAGAACCGGCTGCTGCTCATAGTCTGTCAACATGCACGCTCACCTGCTGGAATCTGCGTTCGGATTGTAATTCTGCCGAGTTCCTGGCAATGGATCAGCTGCCTTGTCGTGGGATTCAGATGTGAAGGTTGAGGTGACTTCAGCTTCTGGCCACATTGCATAATCAGTAGACGAAAAATCATCCGGGGCTCCATGAATCACGGTGATAATGATGATGGAGTATGTCACGCAAATCTCCAAAGTGCCAGTCTCAGGACACACTGCAGCTTGATGGGTCTGGACCTCAGCTTTCAAAGGTCGATTAGCAGTATTTTGGCCTCTTGGGACAGCGCTCTGTGCGCAGGCTCCTCTGACCTCTTCACGACCACTGGGAAGTGGTACTTTCCCGATGCTCCAGATGTGCAGAGGCAACTCTTTGAGAACGTTGCCTGGCTCTACGACAGGCGCTCGGCATGCCCGTTTGTCCTTGAACGTAGAGTTGGACATCATGAAAAAGATTGCAGCTGGCCTTGCTTTAACATTATAGTGAAGTAGATGGCATTTGGATCAAGTATGGACGGGCCTTAATTATTCTGACTTTCGCAAGCAGCCAGCAACGGAATTCAGAACTCATGGGTTCAGTGTCCAGAAGGTAACTCTGATCGGCACCAGTGCTATGTGGGGCAAGACATCGCCGAAAGGGCGACGAAAATTCTACTCAACATTATCCAACGAAATCTAGGCACAGCACCAGTCACCAGGATGATAGCTGTACCAATTACAGGCATTACAGCATGTTTAGTATGGTGGCTTCATAGCTGGAGCGTGTTGGCCAGGAATATCCACCACTATATCTCTGAGCGGCAGACTCCAACGTTTCCGTTCATCGAGGACTTTGACATTCAGGCATCCCGACTCGGTCGCGCGGGCTGTTGCTGGGGGTCTGCTCTTGAAGTGGTGCATTCAGCTCAGAAGGAAGTGCTGTAACAGTTGCAGTGGGAGCTTTTTGTGGGAAATCACCTTTTCTGTAGTTCGACTAGTCAGGGAAATCATGTATCCGCTGCATAGGACAGATGTTCAGAGTCTTTCCGGTCTTTTCAATGCTGCGACTACAGCAGGAGGTTGTAATCATTAATCAATCGCCGAAAGCAGGATACCTAAGCTAAAGCTAAAAGAGCTTCATCGAGAACTTGCAGTGTCCGAAGCCATTGTACTGAAACTTCAAGTCTGCGAGCAGCACATATACCTGAGATGATTGCTAGGCGGCGAAGGACTACCGGCCCATCCCCCCTGGCCGAGAATGGGCTGACCCGCCAGACGTGCCCGGGGCAGCAGAGACAGCCAGGTACTCATAGGCATTGACAGGTTGACATCCCACCATCCGGCTATGTGTTTGCGGAAGCAGTGTCAGTTGCTATGAAGTACTGTATGCACAAAGCAGCCAGTTGATTAGCTTGCGCATGAACACGTTCGAAGGCAGGTCTGCTTCATGCAACAAACAATGCGCGCTGCTTGTGTGAGTAGCTATGGTAGCGAAGCCAGCTGTAAGATACCCGTGCAATCTGCAATACAACAGCAACTCTCGCATGGTATTACTGTGGTCGCAATTCTCACAATTATTCTTAGTAATTCTTGCTGCTGCTATTGCTCTTGCTGCTGCTATTGCTACTGCTGCTATTGCTACTGCTACGTACTTCTGCTGTTATCACTATTGCAAGGATCTCTTCGTCACGATGCCCATTCGCCATGGCCCTGAGCCCTTCGACGTTGGTGGGGACACGTGGCCGTGTTTGTTTGCCTGTTAGGATTTTCTCAACGCATGCCAATAGATTCTTTGATAGGAAACCCCCTGAATCCCTATTATGACCTGTATTGAGTACCCAAAGTCAAGCTGCCTTGCGGAGTTCCATGCTGTAAAGTCGTCTCAGGAATGCCGGGTCCTTTTGAAAATCTTTCGCTGGACCTGAAGGTTTTCCAAAATTAAGGGTACCTATTCGGGTCCCCAGTAAGGATCATAGTATTTTGGGGTCTCATAGCCTGTGGTATGTGAGCAGAGGCCGAGCCAACCATGGTAAAAGCTAAGGATCCGGGCTTTGTTCTGAAGCACCGGGCAACAGCGATTCACATGATGTATCCGCACATCGAGGAGCTTTACTGTACCTTGGGCAAAGGACATTGGCGAAAAGCAGAAGCCGTTGCAAGAAGCATAAAACTCAATAGCTGCTGCGGTGAGGACTTGGTGTGTAGTTTTCCGGTAAGCATGACATGTGTTGGGCTGTAAGCTCATACTCAGCTGCCACCTGCAGGCGTCTCTGAAACCTTTTGTGCATGTTGACCAAGCTGCAAGGTCTGGTGTATTCGGCATCTGGCTACAATAAGGGGAAGGAGATGGTCAAATCGTCCTTCCATCTGGATTCCTGGCGAAGAGCCTTTCTTTTTTCAAAGTTCTGGGAACAATGATGAGAAAATCACATCTAATTTCAATCTCACATCAGCAGATGGGAGGATTGTTGCTGTTGACTGTGGCAAGCCATCCTAGCTAAGGTGTGGCCTCAGATCGTGGTCGATCCTTCCCGAGCTCAAGCGATTCGTTCCTGAGCTGTTTAGCAGGAGGGCATGCCAGTGCGAGTGCTGACGGAGCCAGCACAAAGTCATACCGAATCATACCTGATATATCTGGAAAACAATGGCTCAGGACCCGAAGTTGGTTGGATTTTAGTAGGATGCATTGTCTGCCTTGGTTTGGTATAAGGCTACGTAACCCTGGGCATCTTCAAGAACGAGACGAACAAGCAAGGCCACGCTGCCACTCCGCTCATGCATGCTGAGCTCAAAAACAACACTTCTTCTGCCTCTGCAGGGTCAGACATCCAGCTGCTGCAAGAGAAGCTGATGGAGACCCGGCCCCCATGTCATGTCATGGTTGTGGTTTATACTATACCATTTTTTTGGTGAAATGCACATTTTGGTATACCATTTTTGGGTTGCAAGCACTGCCCCCCAAGGCCTGTACAGGAGACGTAACTTTGGCACCCACTAACAGCTTCCCCAAGAATGTCAGAGGAGATGGACCGCAGCAATGAATGGGAGACACTAGGCTGCAAGAAGATCGCCCCTGCCGTCTCCAAATGTACGGAAGTCCACCTACACCAATTCCTGAGAAGGATCTCGGCAACTGCCCGCTACACAGCAAACAGCCCGCAACTCTTATCAGAAAGAGGCCTCCTGAGCCCCGTGAAGCTGCATGTGCGCAGTCTCTGGGTTGTGTAAGAATATGACCAACGCATGCAACAAGCAGCATGAATAAGCGTTATTGTCCATCCATGTTGTTATTGTCTTGCCATTCGTGCTGATTTAAGGTTTGCGGGCTGTGCATCTTCCGGCAATTTAATTCTAGCAGCCATCGCATTGATGAAGCAGTTCTGCGACTGGCTGGGATAGTGTTCGGAACGCCCGTACCTAACCTAGAACTTTGGCCAAAAGAGCTACCTTCCTCAATCATATCTTTCAAAGCTGTGGACAGCGAAAGTGATGCGCTGTGCAAAGCAACCCCTTTCAGCCATCACCCACCTGCGACATGCGCACGTTGCCATGTGAAGGATACATACTTGCAGGCGTGGAAGAATCCTCACACAGTCCCCATGAGAACAATTTCGCAAAGTCCCTTCCAACAATCGACCAACCGAGCATTTGACGCTCAACGACCCTTGTGCAGGCTGGCAGCAGCAGGGTATTAGGGGTTGATGATAGCAACCCCGGCTGTGCAAGGCTGGTCTTTGACAGCACCACCATCAATGCCAGAAATGGCCTGCGACTGCCCTATTCTGACAAAGCGTCCATGGTCGTCAAAGATCCGGACATCTTGGGTGATGGCTGGGGCAAGCATGGCTAAGCAGCAATTAAATCAGTAGCGACCTTGCATGTGGATGCTGAGTAGCAAGAGGAGCAAAGGACTTGAAGCCTGCATGTGTCTCTGATGTGCATCAGGAGGATAAGGCGCGGATTGCACGCGGAGAGCTCTCCAAGAACTCGGCCTTCAAGGCTGAAAGGGCTTGTGCTGCAGTTTCAGTGTGCCTTTTTCTGCTGATGCCTTTGTGGAGGTTACGGCACTCACAGGTTATCGGGTTGCCTAGGACGGTGGATGATAGGTCAAGGTTGGGTTACCACTCAAGCTTGTGGCTGGGCGTGTTGCACCATGTCACCTTAGTTCCTTAAACTGCATTCGCTGCTGCCTGATGAGCCGGAATCAGGCAGTCCACTTCATTTTTTGGCCTAGGCATCTGTAGCATAGTGGACTATCCCTGAGTTCAGTTCCAACCCCGCATCCAGATACGAGTCGTTGAAGAGCGGCCCTCGAAAGCTGTGGGGCGCATCAACTTCAGCTTCGTCAAGGTCACGGAGTTTCATTAAGGGCTTGTTTCAGCGGAGAAATGGGTTAACCTTAGCAGAACTGGGATGGGCTTGAAAGCCACAATGCTTTGGGCATGCCAAACATTTCTTTTCAGACCTTGGTGGTCATAGCTCCCCTAAAGCAGCTAGCAATCGCGTGCCGTACTCAGACAACTGGCCTGGTTGTTGCAGGATGAAGATGGAGAAGAGCGCATCCAAGCCAGGTGGGTGCAGGACTAAAGCCTTTTCCATTGATTCGTGGGATGATGTTTTCAATTAACGTCAATCTTGGCAGTGAGAGTACGGCTTTCCTTGAAAGCAGAATTTCCAGAACAGCATTGGACAGCAAGTTCTTCAGGGGCAAGGGTACTGTGTTTTGAAGCTGGGCTCATTGGTGTCATGTAGTTCGTGCACTTCCCTTCTTGTAATCTGCATCATGACTAGCCTGAATTGGATGGGCGGCAGAAAATTCTACCAGGCACTAGATCCTTCGTTGGCTTTAGCGGCTGACGCTGGAAACCATGCAAAATGATGGGGGTAATGCGATTCTGATTGCCATCCATCATGCTGTCAACCCTTGGGATCTGCATGTGCGGGCAGCTGCTTAAGAGGAAGGAAACTCGACAGAACCTCATATGCAGAAGTACTGGTAGGTGCCAGCTTCGCTGATGCAATGGTAATGACGGCAACGTTGCCAGAAGCTGTGTGCTTCAGGACGAGAAGTCGCAGGAGCGGTCGGAGCACCTTGGCGCGATCAATCCAGTCGGGGTTTTACGCGCCGATCAGCGTTAGCCCTACAAATTGGCATTCCTGCTTGCACCCTGGCTTCTCACCAGAACCTACATAGTGGTTGCGCGTCTATTTTCAACAAAGTTCAATCTGTAGCTTTCTTGGACTGAGGCGTGCGCTCTCTGAGAACTGTTCTTGTTAGAAGGCTATGTGCCAAAAATGATTGAACTAGGCGGCCATCTTTCAGCGTTTACTTGAGGGTGTGTGTTTCCTGACATGTAACTAGGTCTGCCTGATGCGTATTCTTTCTAAAGGAGCGCCTCCATACTTACTGATGTGTGAAAAGATTGCAAGAGTGCCATTCTGAGAGCAGGGAGTTGACACTGCCTGCACAAGTTGTGTTAGCTTTGTTGCTACTTTTATCAGTGATCAGGCACATGAGGCCTCACAAGCAACTTGGCGTGTTGGGACCAAAACCTACCCACCTGTAAGAATCCTGGGTCAGCATGCCAAAAAAGAGGCGAAGTATGTTTGGCCGAAAGATGTTGTCAGAGTTGAGGTGGATCCGAATGGGTTCTTGCCGCCTGGACCAAGCTGACGCGATCTCGACAAAGTCGGCCTCAGAGTGATATGTGCTGCTTGAAGGGTTTGGGAGCAGGCCTTGTACTGAAGGTTTCAGGCCCAAGATTCGTTCTGATTTGGGTTGGGTTGACAAAGCTGGGGGGCGCAGCTGCCAGCGCAAGTCGTGAGCAGCATGGGACACAAGATTTAGGAAAAGCGTCCGCAGCAGTCAGCATTGGCCATGAACCTTGTAACTAGTTACAGTAGTTCAGGATAAATGACACAGCAAGATGGAAGAGTATTCTATGACTGAGCCTCATGAAGTCCTCGCCGGTGCCCTGAAGGATGACTCCTTGGCAACTGGGTCCGGCCCGGTGCTCGGTCTGGCTGACACTTGTGCAGGGACGCAATAAAGGGCTTCAGAGGTGTTTAGGTGGGACAGTGTGGGACTTGTTTGCTAACAATTCGCACATGAAGGACTCGATCACTTAGCGGGCATTGATAAGCGCCCATGGATAAGGGTCCATCCCAATGTCGGCGTATGACGCAGCAGCAGTGGCGGCGGCGGCAGCGTCGGCGGCAGCAGCAGCAAACAGCCGTAGCCCCCAGGTCTCGTCGCAGCGTGTCGCAATTTGTGAGGCAGCTACTACATATGAGTGACTTTGCTGGCGCAAAACGCTGAGGTGAATGACCAATCTACTCCCCGTTTGCTGAAGACCCCCTCCCCGAAGATGCCGGAATATCTGGATAATAAATGGAATGCAGCTCCCTAGCAAGCCATTTCCGAGTGGTTGGATGTCCTACCAAACCTCGAGACCAAACTCAGATTAAACTGACCTGGAAGTGAACGCAAAGTGCTCTGCCAGTCAACGCTGATGACTTTTGGCAGGAAGTAATGGGTCTGCTGCCGAAGAAGCCAGGCCGCTTCCATGCGAACATTTGTTTGTGCTGATTCTGGTACGAGCCTTTGTTCCTGGCTTTATTGAAGCTCATGTCATTTCAACACATTGCATGCCTTAGTCAGATCTCAGCCCAACCCTGTGAAATGACAGCCCTGCGAGGTGAGAAGTATTACCGTGAATCCGAAGATGACCAAGGCAGGCTGTATTGTGGCTGGCTTCAGGCCAGATATATTTCGCACGTGTGGGAGGACCAAAAGGGAATAAGATTTGCCTCTGGGGGTACAGCTGGTAAACCTCTTTAAGAAGGGCAGCATAACTACAACGTCAGTGCGTAAGCAAAGTCTGGGTAGCTTGTCTTTGTTCAGCCTCTGCAAATTTGTGATACGCATGGCCTCCCGTTTGCGTGTTCCCTTCTTGCTATGGCAGAGATGCATAGCAATGGTGGAAGGTATCTTCAGAACCCACGTCAGCTACCCCAACATCCTACGCTGCGCGTGCCCTGACAGCCAAGTCTTTCCCACGCCAGGGGGTTTTCTCTGTCTCTCTCTCTCCCCTCTCACTCGCCAGGTTGCCTCCCTCACCTCTTCCTCACCTGGACGGCTCCATTGGCCTCGGCCTTGTTGTGCAACATGTAAAGAGATGAGGCTCTCTGTCGATGAGTTTGTCGCCAAGTTTGACGAGCAGCTGGGGGAAGAGATGGATGTGGCTTGGCCACACTTGATTTGCCGTCCATTCGTACCTGTGATGCCACGATGGTATCTTGTTTTCCACCTTTGGGGAAAGTTGCATGTTCATCTTTCACAAATACCTCATGGTTGCACTTCGCATTTGTGCGGCCATGCATCTGGGCTGCCAATCTAAGGCACTTTTGGGGGAAGGCGAGTTCGATCTGCGAAAGAGAATCTTGGATGTGCTCACCCGCTTTTCAAGGTTAGCTCTAAGACTGCTTTGGCTGACATGGCTTATCCTTTTCCTGACCTAATTTCCAACTCTGGGGCTTGGTTAACAGCATGGACCATGCAGTGCCACTGTGCCAGTGCATCTCAGATCACACCTGTGGAGCAACAAAACCATCAGCCCACTCTGCTCTTCAGATGCTGGACATGTCTTTGCCAATCCCCAGCCCAGGAATAGCAGGCCAGTGGATTACCGTAACGGAAGACCAGGACGGCATCTTCCAACTTTGCTGCTGCTGCTGCTGTTGCTGCATTCTTACACTTGACAACATGTCGTGGTATACGGCACATGCTTCAATACGCTGTAAGCCCAGCATTGGCGTTTGCAAGCTTTGCCAATCTGGGCCCAGTTTTCCCCGGAGGTTCAGCAAACCACAGCAGTTAGCAGCTAGCACCAATGCGTCTTCGGGCCTGGTGGCTGGTTCATCATGTGTACACATCACGCCCGGTACAGGCCATGTGGCGGGCTCCTGCAGCGCGACAATTCTCCCACAAGTTCCCGGACCTCTGAAGTTGCGAGCTATGGTAATGCGTGCGATGCAGAAGCGGTGGCACGCATGTCAGCACGTAGTGGGGACCGACGTGCTCTCTTGATCGACTGAAGGACTGGCACTGGGGCTCTCGCTCCAAGCAGCCTCCTGGCGCTTGAGGCATAGCTCAACATTTTGGACAGTCCAAAGGCTTTGAGACCTCATGGGTTGAGCTGCTATGAAGGGCCAGGCGGACCTGACGGTCCAGCTCCAAAGTGTAAGGCTAGACGCCACAATGTCACTGGGCCTTAAAGAAGTGCGAAGAGGCAGTTGCATCCCAAGTTTACCTATTAGCCTGATAGAATAAGCCAGTTCATGTAAGATGGCTCCCAACAGTTTGGGATCCTTCTCTGGGGGAAGTATGCAAGAATTTTATGTGGGGAGCCTTGCATTTGGACTTCAAATCCAAGAAGTTTCCCAAAATAGGGGAACCCCAATATAGACCCCAAACATCAGAGGTCTTATTACAGGGACCCCAAACATGGTACCTCTAATTTTGGGAAACCCCAAACCCTAACCCCGTACGCCTTCTACAGGTAGCCCTCATTTCGGGAAGCCCTGAACCCTAAACCCTATATATCCCTATAGTACCCCATGTATAGCCCTATAGTCCCTATATAACCCCTAGTTTTGGGAAAGTCCCCTTTGTTTGAGCAGCCGAGGCTCCTCCGTCCGGCAGAGCTAACCTTCCTCAAGAGCGTGGGCAAGGTGATGCCGCCCGGCCAGATAGAAGAAAAGGTCGAACATATAAAGGGGTTTAGGGTCTAGGGTTTAGGGTTTAGGGTCTAGGGTTTAGAGGTTCTATAAAAAGGGGTTACAAAGGGGATTATATGGGAGTTATATAGGGATAATGGAAGAGAACATGGAAACTACCATTTAGGATTTAGGGTTTAAAATCCTTAAAGGGGGGTATATAAGGGATTACATAGGGGACAACTATAGGGGTTATTAAGGGAGATGCTAGGAGTATAGACAATGGTTCATATCAGATTCGGCTGTTTTAGGTAGGAGTTCAACGTCAGGATTGGATGCTTGTGTATGGTAGCCCTACCGCTGATGTAGTTGACCTTTCGCTGATGTCTGCAGATCTTCTGGAGTCACGTGATGACATCTTTTTTTTGAAGATGCATATGTCAGAAACAGATATAGAGTTAAGAACGCTTCTCAGGGTTGACACATGCTGAACCTCAAAGTGAATTTTCTGCACACCCTGGCAATGTAGCAGTGGCGCAACGGAGAAGCACAGAAACATGCAGATCGAATCCCTTCCAGCTTCCATCAGAAGAAGCTAGAGTGATTTGATGTTTGTCCGACAGACTGGATCCCCATGCAACTCAGTGTGGATGGCCCGGATGATGTTCGGACGGCGCTCGTCCGTGTTTTGAAGTGACTTGGCATCGGCTTGGCCTAGGGTCTCATTTCATTTTTGGACACCACCCGAATCACCCGAAGGGAAGCTGAGCTTCTGTCCTGTCCCACGGAGGGCGGGTAGGCCTGGCTGGCACACAGTCGTTCTTGGGTTCCACTCTGGCTTGATGATGATTTGACCTTTGCCAAAATCAAAATGTCTGGTCCAACCCGACCAAGTAGGTAAATCAAAGGGAAGCAGCCGCAACTTTTGCTCTACGTACCGCGGCGGCAGCGCTGTGAGGTTATGCCGGACGGAGATGGACGACAATCCGATTATGCTGCGGGGCAGCGTTGATATGCTGGCTGATACTGGCTTGTCTGCAGAAAAGGGTATTATCACCACTGTCGCTACTGTTCTCACCACCGCTGCTACTGCAGCTGCTGCTTGGACTTTGCCTACTTCTGCTGCTGCTACTTACTCACCAGCACCACGATTACTTCAACACGCTGCTTCCTCCTATAACGTCTACTCCTACTGCTTCTATTGCCCAGGACTTTGCAAAGGCTGTTGCTGGTGAGTCAATTACTCTGCTTTTTCCTCGTTGCCTATCATTTTCTTTCGGGGGTGCAGCAGCACGTCAACTCAGCCGCTGCATAGTTCAAGATGGGGCATTGGGGAATATGCAGTTTGGGAGTTCCTAAGTTGGAGGTGCATGTATTCATGGGCCTTTCTTTGTTTGCAGCTGCCATGTCCTAGGGTGTGTGGGCTCCGAGAACTAAGGCCCGTCTTCGACACGGAAATGATGCACAGTTTCCCCTGACAAGCTTCTTGGCCAGAAGTCCTTAGAATTATTACCACTACCCTTGAATTTGCGTTTCTATAGCCATCCTGGTGTCGGCGGCGGCGGTGGTGGCGGCGGCGGTGGTGGTGGGGGCGGCGGTGGTGGGGGCGACGGTGGGGGCGGCGGCGGCGGCGTCGCCGCCGCTGCTGCTGCTGCTGCTGCTATGGCTAAGATGTTTTGACTACCACAGTGTCCCTCTCGCGGACTTGGTTGCTGTCGATAGCTTGCTATTGTTTGCCAAACTAAAGGTACATGCTATTGGCATTTCAAGCTCCACACATCGCTTCAGCTCGCAGAATGCGCATTGTAGACCAGTGCACCGCCAGGATCGGGCCGCAGTGCATGAGCTGGCCCCTGTGCGTCGAGAGGCTTGCGCAGCCTCAACATCACGACGCAGCGAATAGGGAGTGGTAGGAGTGCGGATGTGGTGGCATGCCTCGTTTGCCCCAAGGGCACAAAGGCACTGCCAGTCAAAAGCTTCAATCAGGTTGAGTAGTCTCAGGATCTTGAATCTTGCTGGATGTGCGACTGCCGCCAGCGGATCAGCAATGGTCTGAGAAATCAGTACGGGCCGTGTTTGAGGTCCCAATCCCAGCCCCTGCCGGCTGTGCTGTCGGCCTGTCCAGAAAGTGATTGCCAATAAAAATGGCTGTAACTCTGGTGCAACATAGATGCCATGAGACCTTAAGGCTCATCGTAACAAGAATACTGTTAGTGCTGGATTGGGTGACCGTGTGGTGCCCCTACTATTAGATGCTTTGCAGCGGCTGTGCCTGCCGCCTGCCGGAGCTTCAAAAAGAGCAGCAGATACGGCGTTGGCGACATTTGTAGATTGCTGTGACGGTTAGGGCTTCCTTGCTGCAAATATGTCATGGCTGCATGCTGCTGCAAATGTGACGAAAGGTCGCTTTGAGGACGATGATCATGCTGTCTGCTGCTGCTGCTGCTGCTTCTCACCACTCCTCCTATGATGGGTGCTGTTCTTATGAGTGCTACGATGCTTATCACACGTTTTCAGATGTTTGCTTTTTGTAGGATGGCTAAATGCCCACAGTTGTTGCTTTGGTTAGCCTTGATGTTTTCCATTATTTTTTTTGACTGCCTACTGCTGGGTTCTTGATGTTAGAGGAGAACGTGTAAAGGATTGCAGGGTCCTGTGCATGTGAACACATTGCTGGGAAGAGTCGGGGGGGGATCTCAACCAAGTGATTGTGAGAAGCAGCTTTTCCAAATCAAAAAGCCAAACACGATGTAAGAAGGGGAGAAGCCAGGATCCCTGACCAAACCTTGTTTTCGGAGATTATGACACCAGTGTGCCTGCGACGCAATGTAGAGGGTCCAGAACAACAACGGCAAGTGCTCGTAATCATGATGGTCGTGACTTCTGGCATTTCTGTTTGCATGATCGTCTGCGCAAGTAACAGCAGACCTCTCGCTGTATAACCTCTGCTAAGGCCCAATTTGCCCGTGAGAAGCCAGCAGCTGAGACTCCTTCGGATGGTTGCCATAGTCAAGATATCAAGCGGCGTACACATAGCAACGATCGCCCGAGAAAGCACTAGTAAGATAACAAGACCAGTGGTCCTGCTAGTTGTAGTCAGGCGAAGAAGGATTCTTGAAGCCTGAGGTTTTAGAGTAAGGTGGGGTGATGGTTGAGGAGTCTGGGGCAATGCTTGCTCGGGGAGTAGTTTTGGCCTCGACATGTCTGGTGGCCTTGCCAGCAACTTGATTTGTGGCTTTGGTTGAGAGACTATATTGGCATGAACAGGAAGTAGAGGGGCATCGAGTCTTTTTCACATGCCAAAAAGATGCCCTGCACGGCAACAGTCCGCTAACCACTGCTCCCCAGATGTACACCTCAGCCCTGTCACCCTTACCTTGACACACAAGGTACAGCCCCCAGCCACCCTTGGGTCCAAATTCTCTGGCGGGTGCAAGAAATTTGCCCGAGAGAGGACTTCAGACCAAAGAGACAAGGGGCACGCATGGCGGACCCGTCTTGCTTGTGCCAGGTTCGCTTGCCGGAAGCCTGCATCTTGTATGCAAACCTGTTGTTGGTTGGTAAGGGCAGACATTTACCCAAGAACGCGTCATTCTGAGGCAGCTGTTGCAGGATTAATTTGACAGGTGCAGTTTGCGGAGCATATGGGGTTATATGAAGCTTCAGCTGCTGTAGATAGGACTGTCAGAGTCGGTAGTGGTGCCATATTGCTGCAAGGTTCGGCTCCGTTTTTGGTACATGAAATCCATGACAGGTGCCGGCAAGGAATGGCCTCAGAGTATCATTCACTAGAGAAATCAAACCTGGAAACCTCCAGCCAATCCGCCTGATTTTGGAACCTACTTGGGTCTGAGAGCGACAAACGCCCTGCCTGTCAAACTCTATAGAAATGGCACATTGTCAGGGTCCTTCGGAACTGTCGCCAAGGAAGGCTTCTACCATTTGATTGCTGAGCTGCGTAAATCCAGCGTGCCGTTAGGAGGCCTGGGTCTTCGTGAGACACAACTGCAGCAGCATGGCAGCCAGACTCGCAATGACATCAATAAAAAGCAGAGGTGGAGTAACATTGTGGTTGGTACCGCTGGGCTATGTTTGAATTGCTTGCTGGTCTGCTGCTGTCTGTGCCCTGCCGCAGCGCAGCAGCTGTTGTAGCTTGACATGTGTCAGTGTGGCGGGGCATCTCGGAGTCGTGGCTGCACATGTGGGGCCAACGGAGGTTTTGGGCCGGGGTCCAGCAATCAGGAACTCGAATCTAACACCGTAAATTGCCCCGGTAACCGCGCCAGGACTCGGCGAGAAGTTCCAGGCACCGCCACCGTCCTAGTCAGGCGCATGAGCTTTTCCCCTATTCCTCCATGTTCATGCTGGACACCAGAAGTAGGACGGCTTTCGTACGCTGCCGCGCTGGATTTTCGCAAGCTTGCGGGCAGACGGGGGTGCATTTGCAGTCCGCCGCAGGCAGCCGTTCGAATGTGAGCTCTCCACCTCACTAGTAGAGGTTTCACAAGATGTCTCACAGGAGATCAACCCCAGATGAGCCCACGTAGCGTGACAAACTAGTGGTTAGGACGAACATGGCTAGACTGCGGCCACTGGGATTGATGCTCTTGATGGTGCGCGCTGCACCAAAAGGTGCAGAGTGCTGACGCCAGGAGCAGCTGAAAGAAAGCAGAGAGGCGTTTGGACGCAAGGCATAGGTGCCCCGAAAGCATAATGAAGTCCCTTCGACGGACACTTGTATGCTCGGAGCAACCTGCGCAGCACACTCGCAGCAGAGGCCTCTTAGGGCTTGACGGGAGCGGTTTAGTTAGAACAAAAAGGTTTAGGGTTCAGGGTTGGGGCTAAAGTCTCGCGGCAGGATGTGTCAGAATGAAGGATGGGATTGTCGATGGCCAGCGCATCAACCTTTTGAAGCTGAGGTTCAAGGAGGCTTGATTCCGCATTCATGTATTGAGTCGGTGGGCTGAAGCGAGCGTTAAGGCAATCCATCTCCTGCCTGGAAGATCTACACAGGCTTTTCAAAAAGATGCTCACATGGCGTGCTTGGCTCAAGCAAAGGGGAGTGAAGACCTCCCGCCGCTAAAAGTTGCCAAGCGTTCTGTGCTCAGTCACCGCGACAAACTCCCAGCCGCCATTTCAATTCACGATGCAATTCCTAACTGTTTGAAAGCAGATCCCTTCAAACAATGATTGTAATGCAAAACAGCTAAGTCCAAAGTCTGTTCGACACCATGCCCTGTCAGACACAGATGAGCGGTGTCTCATGCTTGTGAAGAATAGTGCTGCAGTCGCTGCTGTGGGTAGAGCAATGCGGAAGCCAGGAACAGCCTGTAATAACGGCAGAAAACCCTACGATCCGCCTTGTGTGCTGGTTCCTTGCAGATCTTAAAGTTCTGTTATCGAGTCAGACGCCCTTTTCCGAGGACTGCGGGAAGTGGAGCTGTGGCCATGTCGAAGCTTGGCAGCTTTCTGTTATACTAGAAGCTTATATCCTAAAGTGTGTTGGCATTGCTTTGTTTCTTTGCTTGAAGCTTTGGCATGGCACCAGATAGCAGACCAGGAAAAGTTTTGGCGCGATGCTGCTGGTCTATGGCTCCTTGGCTGCAGCTGGTGGAGCTTGACGTGTAGTCATATCAATCATATTCTGATCATATGAGTAGTTGGGGGAGTTGTAGCACGAGGAGTAGCATCAGGTCGTAGTAGTCGCGGTAACGTCACAGTAATGCCAGCGGTCTGGTAGTAGTAGCGGCAGGGGGTAGAAGCTGCAAGGTGATGCAAGTTGTGGAGGTGCTTGAATTAACAGTCTGTTCTTAGGAGCATAAGTAGCACTCAGGACTCCCTCACCAAATCTCCAGCGGGTCCTTGAAGGGAAGCTGTTTATCCGGAGGCAAGACAAGCACTTGAGAAAGCTGCTGATGGCGATCCAGGTGCCTTCCTGGGTCTTTGCGGCACAGCTGGCGCTGCGCTGCACAGCTCACTGCTCAGCAACCTGCATGGCCTAGTAGATCAATGATGTTGTTTGTTCTCTGTGATGAGAATGGTTAGCTGGACCTGCTGAAAGACATGCCAAGGCAAGTAGACCTGCCATGAACCCTTTATGCAAGAGTGCATGCAGCAAATGAACACCAAGATTGGGAGAAGAAAGCGATGCATTCCATGTACGCCGGTCGCGCGCCAAGAGATTTCAGTGTGGTGACAGCTTACCGGGGTTGCTTTGCAGGCTTGCATCACCAGCCCCTGCAAAGGATTGAAGGACTTGCCAAGGCGTTTTTGCGGTGAGTCTACGAATGCGCAGTGTGTTCTGTTGGCTTTTGTGTTGACGGCAAGAAAGGGCTTTTTGAAGTCGCTGGCAGGGCAATCACATCAGATGAGTGTTTTCACACCATAAAGGCAAGACAGCAGGAGAAACAGAATCTAGCCGGAAGTTTTGGTGACTTGACCATGCTTAGCCCTCCAGTCCCCAGTGAGTTATGTTTGG